AATTACTGCAGGATGCAGTGCTAACACCACATTCACGTGGACTGTATTGGCTGAAGGAATATTCATAGATCAGTCACAAGTGATTCAGGATTCATTTTTACTAATTTAAAAGAGATTACGTTATGTGATTATTAAATCCTGATTACTTTTACTTTACATTATGCGTCATGATGCTACCTTTTAGTAACACATTACCAGGTAGCTTGAGAATATAATTTGGTGGCGTCAGGGAATTATGGACCCTCAGGCTGCTGGACTGTTTCCTCGGGCACAATTTACGCTCCTCTGATTCCTTTATAACAATTTATCCAGCACTATTTGAGCCTTGAGGAAAGATGTGGAAAGTCGCCCGCGTCGACACTCCGTTATTAACGTGAAATTTAACTTAAAAAATGTTCCGTCAAGAGAGTACGTGTCACTTTCCCGAACTATGAAATAAGAGTTTAGTTAGTTTATGTTTATTCTGCACACCATACTCATCCTGTGGGCGGTAGTCAAAAGATTACAGAGGTACATAATGGGTCCAGGGACTGGGCCCCAAAGTTTTGATAGCTGAGCAAGTTACAAAGGTAATGAACTCCAGGTAGATCTGGTCACAATCATGACAAGATTGACTAACTTTGGCAACTTTTCGTCCGTCTTTCCCACACTTTTGCGAGGGAAAGTTCAGTTATTGGAAGACATTTATCTTTAATACTATTAATGTGATTATTAATGAGTCCAGCCCTTCAAACTTAGATTATTTAATAGGTTGTCTGTCGTTGTTATTATTTTACATTCATGGGGGAAAACGCTAAACTTGTAGGGGTTACATAGCGCCTGGGGGAATAAGGGGAGGCATCCAAATTCACTCCAAGGAAGGGGAAAACACAATTCCACTTCCTTAGATCAAAAGCTCCCTCACCGGCATCAAGGAACATCCCCTGAGAAAGGTATCAATTAGTATAGATTTAATGTCTCGGTTTAAATTAAACTTCCCAACATAAGTATGTTAACAGGATGAGCAGTGACCAACTGCGAGTGATTCAGCTTATGTTGATGACACCAGTGATAGTCAAAAGTACATTTTTTTAGTCATATTCGAAGAAAACTGAGAAGAATGGCGGTAGCCGGCTGGTACTTACCTATATGCGGTTGCAGGGGGTCGATTCATAGCTCCTGACCCGTGCTTTGCAATGTTTGTGATAGTATGGTTTAATCGAGTATTATTGATTGTTTATAACAAAGGGACGAAGCTACTCTAATCAATACAAATCGATTAATATTATTGACAGTGACACTTGTTACTGTCCCCAGGTTAATCTAATTAAAAATCATAATTCTTCCACTACCTGTACGTAGTAATAGGAATTAATATAATAAAGCGGGAAAATCTTATTATATTTTTCACAAACAAGTTTCTATTAGAAATCCTTCAAAGGAAATGTCGATATTACCATGAAGTGATGTAGGTTATCATATTTAGGAAGCGCTAAACCGGTAGGGGAGTAATATAGCACAGGGGAAATAGGAGATAAACAGGTTCGATCCAAGAAAGGGGGACCACATTCAGTTCCTTGGATCACGAGCCCCTCACCAGCATCAAGACTCCTCTCTCTGTAGAGGAAGAACTGTTAGAGCCAAAAACTTGTATTACTATATATAAGCTCTTTATAAACCATACGGGTTTAGCACTTCTTTAATATTAAATTTAAGGGGACGGGGTTTAAACCATCCTCTCTTTCTTTAAGAACCTGTCAACCTTCCAGTGCCTAGGGTATGACCCGCATGAGTTTAGCGCCTCTACATGCACATTATAACTCCCAGCAGAAGCCGCGGGGAAACTGAGGAAAATAAAACACAGGGAATATCATTAGAAACTATTATGGCCTGCATTTAAAGCATTAATACACAATGTGTTTACTATGCTTTTTTTTTTTTCACTTGTTGAAGGATGAGATTTTTTTTTTTTCCACTGATCAGGTACATCTGCGGGCCGAGCTGATATATTGAAGCAGGTTCCTGAAGTGCAGTCATCATACCATTTCACAAATTAGTTCATGGTACTGATTCACAGACAGGTTCCTGAAGCTGGTTTATGTGACATATTCATGAAACAGGGACCGATTCATTATACAAATCATTTTTTTTTTGTGGCTGAAGAAGTTAGTTCATAAATACCAATTCAGAAATCTTGTTTTTAAACAAGACGGATCGAGATAACCAACGTTCAGGATGATTTGTTTCTCAAAGAAATAATTATGATGATTAGACAGGTTATTGGTTCTTCCTATAAATGAAGTGAAAATTTAATTTAAAATGTTATATGAGGTTCTATATGCACGTTTGGATTTAGTTTAGAGTAAGACTAATAAGCAGTGTTTTTTTTTTTAATATTTTCACTGAATTCAGTTCACTTTGGCAGATTTTGAAATTCTTGGTGAAGCAAAATTTATAAATTGTACAGTGAAGATAAGTAAATATGTTCACGAATAAAGCTCCAGTACTCGGCCCTGGGTGCATATTTTTCATGTGTAAAACGAACAAATATAAGCTCTAGGTACATGTGAAATACGTATTTTTTTAATCAACTGCAAAAACGAAACGCCAATTAAGGAGCAATTCTGTGCAATTTTGAGTTATGAAACAGTCTCTCTCACAATACAAGTTAGAGCTCAAATTTGTTACCATGTAAACTAATAGGGCAGGAGTGTCTTTATGTAAAACTTAAGTAATTTGTTAAAAGGTTAGTTGTATTATAAGATGCTTCAAATATTAATCTTGGTTCCTATCTACCTTCTTGCCAACTGCCTCAGCCCTTGTCTCGGTTCCAGAGGAACTTATACAGAACTTTCCTCTCACGTCGCACCTTTAAGAGAAACATTTCACAATATAATAAGCCCTATATATTAACTTTACCAGTCTTGTTTGGCTTGATTAAAATCCTCCAGAATAAAACAACAATACAAGCTTGTCACTATGTGATATTTCTCTTCACATTTTTAATGGACAATCTTTGACTTACAGGCGCACCTCAAGGAGCTTTAATGAAATCTAATAATTAAAACTGTCTTCATAGTTGTTATTGATCTTTCTTGCTTAATGAATTATATATACTATATATTAGACTGAGGCGCTGAACAGAATTATCTTCAAGATGAGATCATTCTCCTTAATGGCTCCTTAATGGCTACTTTTCTGAATGCCGCATAAAAACTGGTTATTTTTACTCTTCTAGTCATCATCTACAACTCACATTAATCCTTACAAAATAGTCTTCATAACAAAATAAGCAATTAAAAATCTGTTGTAATTTTTACCTATTATGTATATATATTACAATATATGTATGATGTTAGTGAAAAATACGAAATATTTGTATACAAAAAAGTTTTTACCTGCCCTAAATAGCAATTTTTTTTTTTTACAGTGAATTTAGTCGGGAGAAAATGTGACCACGGTGACCCATTAATGGCTAGTCATATGGCCCTCATCTCAAATTCCCGAAAACATCCAGAGTTTATAAGCTTGTGTGAAAATAAGCACGTCGAAGCTTTGGCAAAAATTATTATTCTGCTTGTACCTGAATCAGATATACTCATCTGAGTTAAAAAATCGTAGTGTATCTTGAAAGCTTAGAAGAAACAAAGTGGACGTTAGTACATTGAAAATCATGGTTAATTTCAATTGATCATACAAACTCTATAACAAACGTTTCTTTGTTATATTGGCTGACAAGTAACGTTTTTTCCAGTCCGAATTCCCAAAGCCCTTTTCCCGAGCGATGCGAGAGCACTGCCACATCTCAAGGCAGGAACGTTTTAAAGAAGTCACAATAACCATCCATTCTTCACCATAAACCCTCCACCCAACCTGTCCAATTTACAACCATTTCTCCTTATCGTTCGGTCACAGCCATCCTGGTCATACAGTCAGTACATTTCATCGAACCCCCACCATCCAGCCAAAAAGATACGGGCGCAATCATTCCTAGTCATGTCTAGTTACCCTTCACAAGATCACCAGTAAAAGATACTCACCCAATCATCGGCTTTTTATTTTTTACATCGAGTTATCAATTCACAGAAATTATTTTGGTCAAAATATTTCTTTATTCCAAAATAAAATCATTAATCACATGATACTCGTCTTCTAGACCTCACCACTCCTCAAGCCTCACAAGTTATGCTTTCTTGTCTGACATTCTTCCAACGAACAACTTTCTCTGAGACTTCCTTTAAAACGTTGACTGTTCAAAGCCAGTCAATCTGCGTGGGTGTGGGAGCGACGGTCCTAGCGGCCCTCATGACTGGTCAGTTCAACACACGGTGACTAGGAATTATAACTGTGTTGTCCTGCATGTCGATGCACTGTTATTTCGTGCTTTTGGTAAACAAACGAATTTTATCCTCTAGTGGTAACAAGCTTTAAAAAAAGCTGCGTTATCTTGATGGTTAAAATGGTGCCAAACGTGTTTTTCACTCGTCAATGGTTTTAACAGTGCCTCGTGGTGTCAGTGCGAGGGGCTGTATAAGAACACCGCTTTCGTTTCTCACCTGTATTAGTATGCAGTTTTTGCAAGCTCGGCAAGCCTGCTTCGTAGCATGGCACCCACATGTCGAGGGTTCAGTAGCTACAGTAATCGCAGGGAGAAATGTCAGTAGTTACAGTACTGCAGGGAGAGTGATCAGTAAGTACTGTACCCGCAGGGTACAGGCAAGTGCTCTGTTAGCAACGGTTCCTGTAGTTACTGTACTTGCAGATCAGTGCTGGGTCTGCGTCCTCCACCGCACTTTTATAAGCACCAGAAATATTCACTGCACTAAATCTGCATTGTTACAAAACTTCTCCAGTGACAGTTGGCTTTGATTGTTAATAATGTTAGCATGATACACTTGTGCCCTTGGGCCGTTGTTTACTAGTAGTGTCCATATCACTAGTGTTAGATTCAGGACCTTCACCTTCGGCTTGATGGTGTCCCATTTACGCTTTTCACGTCAGCCTATGCTTTTGCCGATGGCTTAGTAAGCCCGTGTTCAGTGTATCCATGGGATTCTGTACCAATGTCTATATTGTGCGTGTTCCCGGCAGTGAAGTAAAACTTGGACTTGGCGTTTGAGTGCCATCCACTGAGGCACTGAGTTATGAAGCCGCGGACTCGGACACTTAGTGTTTACGAGGGCCCAGCCAGAGACTTCTGTCTCTGCCACGGAGTACATCTCCTCGCGGCCGGAATGTGTTGAGCGATCAGAGCGATGCTCCTGCTGATGGGTGCGGCGCGTGGTCCGTACCACGAACTCTCCATCCACCACGTCTTCGTCCTCAAGGTAGTGCGGGTCGAACTGATCGTTGTCGAAGTCGTAGGAATGGTACTGGCGTTGGAACCTAGCTATGGGGCGCGGGGAGGCGTCTGGAGAGTGGTCAGGGGAGGTCATAACGTCGCTCAAGTGTGGTGGCTCTTCGAAGTACTCTGTGGTGGAGCGCTCTAACTGACGACGTTTGCTGTCAATGGATGAACCAGATACGTGGGAGTACCTGTCCAGTGGCTCCTGTATGGGTGGGGAAATAAAATATAAGTAAAACAGTAAACCATGTAAAATGAACTCATCGATCATTTTAAAAAATTTAAAATTCAAAGCCTAATTAGACACCTTTACATCATATTAAATTTCACATCAAATCAAAGAAAAGGGTGGGAATCGAACCCAGGGCAATGTGAGTCCTTTAAAAATCGCACACCAGTGAGTTAACCACCAATCAAAATATATATTTCTTAACACAATAGGATGACCTGTTGGCATGGGCCCCCACTGTGACCACAAATGCAGACTTTCATGGAAGAATCCCACATGGGTTCGATTCATCACATGAACTTATAACATAAACTATAACATGTGGCTCATTTAGAAAAATATAATTGAAAATTTGCGATGAAAAATCAACTCACGTGATGCCTCCAGTCTTCTGTGAACTCTGAGGCAGATCGTGCCAGAGACCTTCCGGTCCTCGCCGACATGCGATCATCGAAGTCAGTGTCCGGGTACTCATCGTCGGGCAGCACCGGCACATTATAGGTGATTTCGGGCTGTGAGCGGTCGGCTATGGAGCGAGCCCCACTGGCCATGCTGGGTCCACTAGCCTCACTCCAGGTGTCGGCCCGGGTGAAGTTCACCTCCGTCTCTGTCATGGATCGCACGTCTATCCCAGAGTGTATGCTCGACCCAAGGTAAATATGAGGGGCATAATATATTCAGAATAACAAGAAATCATGGTATATGTTGTCTGAAAATGTTGCATTTGAACATTTAAATAGTGGGAGACGAGATACAAAGAAACAGGTGATGGGAAATACTGAGGCTTCTTCCACTTTTGCTGTGTCCTCAATGGATGTCACCCACTGAGAACAGAGTAAATTTCGAAGGTGATATAAACTAAGTCTTCAGTGGGCCATACAAAACGGTATGATGTTGTCAAAGAGAACAAATTTTAAATTTCCTCGTTATGGGGAAATTTAGGAAATAACAGTTAGAACGGGAGTAGGAAGATGGAAACAAAATGAAAATCAATATTTTGTTCCTAGCGATATGCACTTTGTTCGAAGAACAATTAACACTGAGCTCTGATATCGAAATGCGCTTGTTTAATCACCAAACACTAGCAGATATACGAGCTACCCGGCATAAAATTAACTTAGCCAATGTAGAATGTTTGTGAGTGCTACAAAGTAAACCAGAACTGACTTCGAGGACCGTCGGGAGCGAGCAGAGGGTGGTCCAGGGCGACGGAGGATGACAGGGTTGCCCTCAGAGTCATACTCGTACAGTGGAGGCAGTGACGGTCGTCGCCCGGACGGGACGCTCTCGTGTTTACGGTACCTAGGGAAAGCGAAGAGGTTAATGAAGGCTGAAGGTGTGGATGTTCTTGCTACAAAGATTCCTTGAAGACAACTAGCTTAAGATCAGTGGCGCAGCCAGAATTTCAATCTAGGAGGGTCTTAAAACATCACAAGATGCTGAAATAGTTAAAGCAATCTTTAAAAAAAAAAAACATGTTATCAGTATATATGTGAAATTTCACTGTATTATGCTGACCAAGAGCTTTCGTGGTCACTGGTCAATATAATATAGTGAAAATTACCTATTAATTGAAAAATAAAAAGTTTTGCATCTGGGAATTTTTTTTAGCCTCCCCCGTGGCTGTGACACTGAGTTAAACGTCAGAGTGGGATGTGAAGCTTTATATTATACCTCAAGTAGAATTAGAGGGAAGGTGAGGGAGTGTCATTCCTTAGCAAACTGAGGAAGAGTGGGCAAGAGGTGAGGAAAAACGGGAAGGCTTAGGGAAAACCCACACTACTGGTACAGTGAGAGTATTTGGAGAGTATGTGAAGAATATTTAGAATATATGCATTTGCATAGTGTAGATTAACTGAGATGAACTAGGTATAGTAAGAATATAGAAACGGATATCTAGGAATATACTTGTAAACTTTAAAGGTCATATGAAATAACAGAATGTTGGTATGTTGAGACAGCAAGATTATTCGTATTATGTAACGAGTATTATTAGGAATTTTTATTTATCAAGTTTACCAAGATAATATTTTTGGCCAGCGTATGTTTAAGATTAGAATGAAAGATTTACCTTCGGCCGTCCTCGAGGGCAGACTCTCAGTGTCGGCTTCAGACGGAGCCTCTGAGGAGGAGTCTACACGGTCATGGGTGTACGGTGGGGAGAGGATCCTGATGATCACGTCCCCCTTGCGAGGCTCAAACAGCTTTTCGTACCTGATGTCAATGGAAAACGTTTCTTGCTCTAAACAACATTAAACTATTAAACACCTCGTGTATTACGACTGGTGTATAGTGGCACAATGTCTCCTAAAAAATGTTCATGCCAGATATTTAATGATATACCGATACATGAATCTGTAAACAACTTAGTTGAATGGCTATATATATCCTTGTCTGTGGTCACAGGCGTCTGAGAATCACTTCTCAAGTGAATATCCCCGAAAAAACGATCTAAACATCAGAGATTCGTTGCATACCTTGGTCGTGACGAATACGCTCGTAATCTTCCTTCACAGTAGCATAAGTGAGCATTGTACGCAAGGTAGACTCGGTGGAGATGATTTGACGCCACTTCTCTCTGTCCTCCTTCGTCAGAACGTACTGGATGGCCTTCTCCGTGGGTGGAGGCTCCAGCACACGCAGGAGAACATTCCAGTTAGGTGGATGCGGATGTTCCAGTGCCTCCACCTCCAGCTGAGTCAGATCATCTTCATCAGCATGGAACATGTGCTGGCGGAAGACGTCTGAGCCAGGCTCACTGTAACCTTCCCATTCAGGTCCGGATGACTCGACCTCGTCGGCATATTTGGGTCCAGGATAGTGACGGATGGCAACGTTCCACTTGGGTGGAGGCAGCGCCTTGGGCTTCACGTGGTACTGTTGGGGGGGGGGGGGGGTAATAGATAATGTTAAATAAGCTTTTCCCCGTGCGAAACAACGCTAACAGTTAAGGACATTATCCTGAGGTGCCAAGTATACCAGGTGTGTGTGAAATTCAGTCTGAGATAGAGCAAACAAATAATGGCACGCATGTAAGAAATATTTACATACAATAATTTTCAGAGTAATATGTGCATATGAATAAATGGTTTAGGAAATCGACACGTTGCACAAGTGTTTCGTTTAAATAACAAAAAAAGGCACAATACCGTGACTGGAACGATACACAAATAACCCGCACATGAAAGAGAGAAGCTTACGACGACGTTTCGGTCCGACTTGGACCATTGACAAAGTCACACTGTGACTTTGTCAATGGTCCAAGTCGGACCGAAACGTCGTCGTAAGCTTCTCTCTTTCATTTTGCGGGTTATTTGTGTATAAGTGTCTCGTTTATCAATATGTGCATAATTCTAACCAAAGAAATAAATAACCCTAGAAAATAGTGCAAATATGTACATATGCATATATACCTTAGATGGGCGATGTGAGTAGTGTAGGATCTACTTTTATTTATTTCATTTTAATCAGGGTGAAAGTGGTAAACGGTAGGCGGTTTATGCAGCGCCTGGGAATGGGAAAAGAAATAGGTTTGATTCTGTAGAGAAAAAAGAGAGAATCAGTGTAGCTTACTTGTTTGATGAAGCGTCTATGTCGTTCTATGTCCTCCGTGGTGCGTGTCTCCGTGATGGTGGAGACGTGACGGTCGTCCACGACATGGCTGGTGATCTCTGGTTTCCTGGGCACCACTGACAGCTCCTCCACCACGTCGGTGACGCTGCGCGCCTCTGATGGGTACTCTGAGTCTGGCTCTGAGGGAGGAGGAGGACGGATCATGTAGCGGCGCCCGTGGCGTTCCACCGTCTCTTGGATGTCTGTAGTTTCTGTCGTTATATTCTCGATGTTTTCGATGTGTCGGAGATCTCGTCGGATGTTCTCGCGTACGTCCAGTTGGAGGTCGTGTTCTGACACTGATCGTGCCACCGAGCTAAATTCGGAGGGTGGAGGCGGCACGCCTACAAAGCGTTCCAGCGTGTTACGGTGGATTTGGGCGTACGATGGCGGCGGCACGATCACAGGTGGTGGGATTAGGTCCCCGGGTTCAGACACGAGCAGGGCGTGCTCGGACCCCGGCAGACTCTCTGCTCGGAAGCTCTCGTCATTCTCCAGGATAGTGGTGAGGGACTGTGACTGAGCCAGCTGAAGTGGGTAGTCTGGCTCAGGCGTCTTGGGAGGCGTCGGGGCACGCTTGACCCTTACCATGAAGGTGGGCTGCGGGGGACGGCTCACCTGTGCTGCTGTCACCAGTTCTGCGTCACTCTGCATCATGGCGTCTGAGTACACGGAAGACAGTTTGTCTTCGTCCATGATAAACGCATGGTTCTGGAAGGAATGAAGCCTCTCCTCTTGCATTTGCATGTGAGCTGAGATCATCGAAGACCTGCGTTCCACTGACCGCATATCCAGCTCCTCCACTTCCGACCCACTGGAAGGTGGATCAGACGGGTAGTCGGAGGGAATGGTGTCCGACTGCGAGACAAGCGCGGTGTCGGAGTCGGAGGTGGAGGTAGCGTGGGCTCGCGGGATCTTGACGCCATCGAACATAAGCGAAGACCCAGACATCTTGGTAATGTCTGACGGCGCCAGGGACATGGGTCGTCGACGCACCAGTTTGATGTTGCGCTTCTTGAGGCATGTGTAGGAGCAGGCCATCCCCACTAGCAGCAGCGCCAGGAACACGATGGCGCAGATGATAAGCAAGATCTCCACTTCACTCACTGGCGCCGGCACTCCTATGGGAGCAGGAGGCGCTCTGTGGAAAATAGTCACGTGTCAACTTGTAGCGTAATTCTGTTTGGTATGGCATACAGTTAGGGTTGATAAAGACACAAAGTTAAGATTGCAAACGTTGAAAAATGGTATGGTGATATCGACAAGATGTTGAAAGACACTTATGTACAGTTGAGGACATTTATTAGAGGAAACACTTCCTCTAATAAATATCCTGAACTACATAAGTGTCTTTTTCCACAATGGAAACTTTATTTAGCCTTGAAAAAGTCTTGCACTGGCGATGTTATCTTAATGAAGTTTCTACATACTTTTTTGTGTCTTTATCAAACTATAATTTCAATATGTATAATAATATCCAGCATTATGTCTCGTTATCGTATATAAAAACGTGGGACATGTCCCTCCTCTCCATATAAGAACTACTGCTCAACTCAAAATTTTAACGAGCAATGATGCCAGCATTAATGCTCTGAAATCTGAGAGTTAATAATACCTAAAAAATGATTGCAAACCCCCAGAAAGTGCTTAATCAGAATTATTATTATATTCATATCCAACTATAAACTCGTGTGGGTGAGAAAGAAGAGGTGTGAGGAACGTACATGATAGGGACGGGAGGACCAGGAGGAGGGATGACCTTGGGACTCGGGTATCTACATATAATAGTCTTGATCTCGTCGCCTTCTAGTTCCAGGCCCGGGTGGAACCTCACGATGATATTGTTGACGAACACACGACGCTCCACCTGTGGGTGGACGTGATGGTTAGTGGCGGGGAAGTGGAATGAAGGATGTAGGGGGAGTAGAATGAAGAGTGTAGGGGGAGTGGAATGAAGGGTGTAAGGGGAGTGGAATGAAGGGTGTAGGGGGAGTGGAATGAAGGATGTAGGGGGAGTAGAATGAAGAGTGTAGGGGGAGGGGAATGAAGGGTGTAGGGGGAGTGGAATGAAGGGTGTAGGGGGAGTGGAATGAAGGGTGTAGGGGGAGTGGAATGAAGGGTGTAGGGGGAGTGGAATGAAGGATGTAGGGGGAGTAGAATGAAGAGTGTAGGGGGAGTGGAATGAAGGGTGTAGGGGGAGTGGAATGAAGGGTGTAGGGGCAATGGAGTGATGGCTACAGGTGCAATAATAATAATGTTTATATAAGTACATGATACAACTTATACAGACCATGGCTGTCATCAACTATATACTATATAGAAAGCTCCTGTTTATGCAGAGCATTTCGGGAAAATTAGGTTAATTTTGCCACCCAGGATGCGACCCACACCAGTCGATTAACACCCAGGTACCTACTTACTGCTAGGTGAACAGGAACACCAGGTGTCTTAAGGAAATATGTCCAATGTTTCTACCCGTTCAGGGGATCGAACCACGGACACTCAGTGTGTGAGCTGAGTGCACTACCAGTGCATAATTGAATAATACAACTATTAGTATTTGCCACAAGTGTATATGACACCAGCATGTCACTGCTACTGTGTGGGTGCCATGTGACACCAGCATGTCACTGCTACTGTGTGGGTGCCATGTGACACCAGCATGTCACTGCTACTGTGTGGGTGCCATGTGACACTAGCATATCACTGCTACTGTGTGGGTGCCATGTGACACCAGCATGTCACTGCTACTGTGTGGGTGCCATGTGACACCAGCATGCCACTGCTACTGTGTGGGTGTCATGTGACACCAGCATGCCACTGCTACTGTGTGGGTGTCATGTGACACCAGCATGTCACTGCTACTGTGTGGGTGCCATGTCACTGCTACTGTGTGGGTGCCATGTGACACCAGCATGTCACTGCTACTGTGTGGATGCCATGTGACACCAGCATGTCACTGCTACTGTGTGGGTGCCATGTGACACCAGCATGTCACTGCTACTGTGTGGGTGCCATGTGACACCAGCATGTCACTGCTACTGCGTGAGTGCCATGTGACATCAGCATGTCACTGCTACGGTGTGGGTGTAATATGACACCAGCATGTCACTGCTACTGTGTGAGTGCCATGTGGCACCAGCATGTCACTGCTACTGCGTGGGTGCCATGTGACACCAGCATGTCACTGCTACTGTGTGGGTGCCATGTGACACCAGCATGTCACTGCTACTGTGTGGGTGTCATGTGACACTAGCATGTCACTGCTACTGTGTGGGTGTCATGTGACACCAGCATGTCACTGCTACTGCGTGGGTGCCATGTGACACCAGCATGTCAGTGCTACTGTGTGGGTGCCATGTGACACCAGCATGTCACTGCTACTGTGTGGGTGCCATGTAACACCAGCATGCCACTGCTACTGTGTGGGTGCCATGTGACACCAGCATGTCACTGCTACTGTGTGGGTGCCATGTGACACCAGCATGTCACTGCTACTGTGTGGGTGCCATGTGACACCAGCATGTCACTGCTACTGTGTGGGTGCCATGTGACACCAGCATGTCACTGCTACTGTGTGGGTGCCATGTGACACCAGCATGTCACTGCTACTGTGTGGGTGCCATGTGACACCAGCATGTCACTGCTACTGCGTGAGTGCCATGTGACATCAGCATGTCACTGCTACGGTGTGGGTGTAATATGACACCAGCATGTCACTGCTACTGTGTGAGTGCCATGTGACACCAGCATGTCGCTGCTACTGCGTGGGTGCCATGTGACACCAGCATGTCACTGCTACTGTGTGGGTGCCATGTGACACCAGCATGTCACTGCTACTGTGTGGGTGTCATGTGACACTAGCATGTCACTGCTACTGTGTGGGTGTCATGTGACACCAGCATGTCACTGCTACTGCGTGGGTGCCATGTGACACCAGCATGTCACTGCTTCTGTGTGGGTGTCCTGTGACACTAGCATGTCACTGCTACTGTGTGGGTGTCATGTGACACCAGCATCTCACTGCTACTGTGTGGGTGTCATGTGACACCAGCATCTCACTGCTTCTGTGTGGGTGTCATGTGACACCAGCATGTCACTGCTACTGCGTGGGTGCCATGTGACACCAGCATGTCACTGCTTCTGTGTGGGTGTCCTGTGACACTAGCATGTCACTGCTACTGTGTGGGTGTCATATGACACCAGCATCTCACTGCTACTGTGTGGGTGTCATGTGACACCAGCATCTCACTGCTTCTGTGTGGGTGTCATGCGTCACCAGCATGTCACTGCTACTGTGTGTCACGTGACACCAGCATGCCACTGCTACTGTGTGGGTGTCATGTGACACTAGCATGTCACTGCTACTGTGTGGGTTCCATGTGACACCAGCATGTCACTGCTACTGTGTGGGTGCCATGTGACACCAGCATGTCACTGCTACTGTGTGGGTGTCATGTGACACCAGTTACAGTGGTGAATGTCACACGAGCAAGTAAAAAACAAACACGCAAAAGGAGGCAGAAAAACGAGGAGAGAACTGTGCTCTGGAATTGTAATTTTTATGTCAATAGTACTGTAATGTGTGTGTGTGTGTGTGTGTGTGTGTGTGTGTGTGTGTGTGTGTGTGAGGAGTGTAATTTAAAAGCAGAGTTTCGTCTGATAATTAACAACGTCATCAAAACTACACTGATCAGGTTAGGTAACTTCCCAGTTGCATACGACTGGTATACAATACCGCCAAGATGAAGAATTACACATGTACAACATCTGGGCAACTTTACTGTAGACGTTTCGCCATCCAGTGGCTTTATCGGCACAAATTCAAGGATATAACTGGAAGACAGTAGAAGTATGTAGAAAAGATGAGATAATGAGTCCCTCAGTCTTGGAGTTGGTGTGAGGAACACCGTAGTCGTCAAGAATCTAGAGCACAGGCAAGAAGGCTGGCGCTTATTCTTGACGACTACGGTGTACTTCACACCAACTCCAAGACTAAGGGATTCATTATCTCATCTTTTCTATATAATTCTACTGTCTTCCAGTTATGTCCTTGAATTTGTATTGATAAAGCCACTGGATGGCGAAACGTCTACAATAAAGGTACCCAGATGTTGCACATGTGTCTAATTTTTCAACTTCCCAGTTCCTGAAATATAAGGCTGTCAACAAACAAAATATAAGGCTGTCGGCAAAAAAAAGGGGGTCTCTCATTGGTTAAATTTTCCTACGAAAATCGAGATATAGAATTAAACTACATATAAAATGTATATATTTATTAAAAGAACATTTTACTTGCAAAGGTATTGAGTGGAGAGAGTGTGGCAGACTGTGGCGTCCTTGTGTGTTGGGGGCGAGAACATCCCCAGAGGCACAGAGCCAGGAATGTGGCCCTTTTGGACGACCCTCCAGCCCTAAGCTACACTGCTTTCCTAACCTTACGTAACTAAATTGTGCAAATATTACATCACAGGTTGTAAATAAATTGTTATAACTTATTATTGTCAGACTTATATAAGGCTAATTATTATTATTATTATTATTATTATTATTATTATTATTATTATTGTTATTATTATTATTCGGCATGCATAGCTTTTAAAAATTATATCAATAACACCTCTTATCAGTTATGATTTCAGTAGTCATCAAGTAACTGGAAAATGTTAGTGTGAAATACCTATTTTATTTATACTGGGGATAATGTGGAGAATAAGCCACGTGGGGATGGAAATCTTTAGCTCTAGATCTTTCACACTTTCGTGCATCGTCAGGAGCTATGCAATGCTGCAAGACAGCAACAAATAGAAGGGTAAATTCTCTGAAGCTAGGTAGAAAGTATCAATAGCTGTCCATAATACAGAGTGTCATGGATTCCCACTGATACCTTCTGCCTTGCCTCAGAGAATTTCCCCTTCTATCTGTTGCTGTCTTGCAGCATTGCATAGCTCCTGACGAAGCACGAGAGTGTGAAAGGTCTAGAGCTAAAGATTTCCATCTCCATGTGGCTTGTTCTCCAATGTTAAGATCGCCTGTTTGCGACTGTATTGCATGGGAATAATATATGAATATGGTTGCAAGAGACTACTACTAAGTTCGCAGATTTTGAGTTTCAACTGACCCTGTTAGTGCCGCAGCCTTTGAGTGGTAGTTCGAGGTGGTACTTGGTCTTGCCCTGGCCCTGGATGCGGCACGCAGAGTTGCGGGAGCCATTAGGATAGATGATTCCGTAGAAGGGTTCTTTAAACTCCACGTCCACCAGCATGTACCCCGAGGCACAGTTGAGTGTGGTGTTGGTCTTGTCTGTGTAAATCTTGGGACCGATCTGGTCCAGGTCTCGCGATGCACCGCCGATCCTGCACCAGAGAAGGAAGGTACTAGGTAAATCATGACACGAAGACCAAAACCTTCCACCCTACACATACACATACACACACACACACACACACATACACACACACACACACACACACACACACACACACACACACACACACACACACACACACACACACACACACACACAGTGGTGGAGGCAATCTCCATACACAGTTTTAAGAACAGATACGACAGGGCCCACGAAGCTAAAAGGGAGTGCATCTACGAAGTGGCAAATTAAGAGGCAGGGCCATGATCTAAAAATCGACCTCTGCAACCACAAATGAGTATACACACACACACACACACACACACACACACACACACACACACACACACACACACTAGGTGAGTACACACACACACACTAGGTGAGTACACACACACACACACACTAGGTGATTACACCACACACACACACACACACACACACACACACAAACACACACACACACACACACATACACAAACGTTCACGGGAGTACTTTACGAGGTGATTCAATGTGATTCTTATAATCTAAGTTGATAATGTATCAATTTAGATAAACCAAAATCAATATGCACAATGAAACAAAGACATTTTGTGCATTTATATAAATAGCTTCATTCCTTTACACCTTCACGCCCATGTCTGCCACCCACTGTGACTATCCCCACGCCCACGCCCATGCCTGATACCTAAAGAAATAAAAATTGTATTGTGTATTCCCTTGCCCTATTTTTCTGACATTTCAATGTTGCCATTCACTCGACGACCATACCTGCGACCGACTTCATGAGTCCTTGCCGTCTTGTACGCAAGTCTAGGGTCAGCCAGGCTTCCCTGGTGAGGCAAGCTGTGTCTGCCCACGGTCCTCAGGCCCTCACAACCACCACAACCTGGCCGATTAGGCATTTCCTGCAGAAATTCCTCTGGTTTCCCCCCTAATCATTTCTACATTTGTTCCAGCAACGTCTCTTACATCTGAGGTAGAAGGTTGAAGAGTCTTGGCGCCATGGATGCTGACACATATTCACTAATTGTACCAATGGCGACCCTGCTTTTCACTGTGTTTATACCATACTTCCTCTCACCTTTCAAATTTCTCATTCCAGTAATTTCTTATGGTAGTGTGCAGATTGGGCCCAATATAACATAATATGCACACACACCCACACACACAGGACCAGGAGTTATGAATCGACCCTTGCAACCACATATAGGTGAGTACATACATACACACGATAATGTTCATGGAGCTGGAGAAAGTGGACCTAGAAGAGACCAGCGAAAGGGCCAGGAGCTGTGACACGACCCCTGCAACCGCAAATAGGCGAGTACACACACACACACACACACACACATATTATATATATATATATATATATATATATATATTATATATATATATATATATATATATATATATATATTAATATATATAAATATATATATATATATATATATATATATATATATATATATATATATTATATAATATATATATTATATATATATATATAATATATACTGAGGTATGAAAAATGTTGCAGAAGTGAGAGAAGAAGGAATTTTAAGAGTACCATCAGTGTCGTGACCGGACTGATTTTAAAATTTATAATCCAGCCTATCACCTCATCGGCCCTGGCTCCATTTGCTTTATTGAGTTCTCTAAACGATAGATAATGTGGCATTATTACTCCCAGGTCTTTCACACGCTCCCTCCTTTCACTGATAAGGTTTGACTAAGTGTTTTCTGCGTTCGTGTGAACTTTGTCACTGTTGAACACTACATGCGACGGAAAAGAATAACAGAGCGGCTAAAAGAGGTCAATATATCTGAAATGCGCAGGGAGACACTGGTCAGAGAAATAGCAAGCATCGAACTTAAGCTAAAAGAATCCTTTAGGAGTCAGGAATCGCGGGAAGAACTAAAAGCTATAAATGAAATCGAAAGAAACCCAAAGTATTTCTTCTCCTATGCCAAATCAAAATCGAGAACAACGCCCAGTATTGGGCCCCTACTTAAACAAGATGGGTCCTACACAGATGACAGCAAGGAAATGAGTGAGCTACTCAAGTCCCAATATGACTCAGTTTTTAGCAAGCGCTAACCAGACTGAGAGTCGAAGATCAAAATGAATTTTTTATGAGAGAGCCACAAAATTTGATTAACACAAGCCTATCCGATGTTATCCTGACGCCAAATGACTTCGAACAGGCGATAAATGACATGCCCATGCACTCTGCCCCAGGGCCAGACTCATGGAACTCTGTGTTCATCAAGAACTGCAAGAAGCCCCTATCACGGAGCCTTTTCCATCCTATGGAGAGGGAGCATGGACACGGGGGTCGTCCCTCAGTTACTAAAACAACAGAACATTAGCCCCACTCCACAAGGGGGCAGTAAAGCAACAGCAAAGAACTACAGACCAATTGCCTAACATCCCAATCATAAAAAACTTTGAAAGGGCCTAAGAAGCAAGATCACCACCCATCTAGAAACCCATCAGTTACACAACCCAGGGCAACATGGGTTTAGAACAGGTCGCTCCTGTCTGTCTCAACTACTGGATCACTACGACAAGGTCCTAAATGCACTAGAAGACAAAAAGAATGCAGATGTAATAATACAGACTTTGCAAAAGCCTTCGACCAAGTTGTGACCATGGCGTAATAGCGCACAAAAGCGCGCTAAAGGAATAACAGGAAAAGTCGGTCGATGGATCTATAATTTCCTCACTAACAGAACACAGAGAGTAGTCGTCAACAGAGTAAAGTCCGAGGCAGCTACGGTGAAAAGCTCTGTTCCACAAGGCACAGTACTAGCTCCCATCTTGTTCCTCATCCTCATATCCGACATAGACAAGGATGTCAGCCACAGCACCGTGTCTTCCTTTGCAGATGACACCGAATCTGCATGACAGTGTCTTCCATTGCAGACACTGCAAGGCTCCAGGCGGACATCAACCAAATCTTTCAGTGGGCTGCAGAAAACAATATGAAGTTCAACGATGAGAAATTTCAATTACTCAGATATGGTAAACATGAGGAAATTAAATCTTCATCAGAGTACAAAACAAATTCTGGCCACAAAATAGAGCGAAACACCAACGTCAAAGACCTGGGAGTGATTATGTCGGAGGATCTCACCTTCAAGGACCATAACATTGTATCAATCGCATCTGCTAGGAAAATGACAGGATGGATAATGAGAACCTTCAAAACTAGGGAGGGCCAAGCCATGATGACACTCTTCAGGTCACTTGTTCTATCTAGGCTGGAATATTGCTGCACTCTAACAGCACCTTTCAAGGCAGGTGAAATTGCCGACCTAGAAAATGTACAGAGAACTTTCACGGCGCGCATAACGGAGATAAAACACCTCAATTACTGGAGCGCTTGAGGTTTCTAAACCTGTATTCCCTGGAACGCAGGAGGGAGAGATACATGATTATATACACCTGGAAAATCCTAGAGGGACTAGTACCGAACTTGCACACGAAAATCACTCACTACGAAAGCAAAAGACTTGGCAGACGATGCACCATCCCCCCAATGAAAAGCAGGGGTGTCACTAGCACGTTAAGAGACCATACAATAAGTGTCAGGGGCCCGAGACTGTTCAACTGCCTCCCAGCACACATAAGGGGGATTACCAACAGACCCCTGGCAGTCTTCAAGCTGGCACTGGACAAGCACCTAAAGTCAGTTCCTGATCAGTCGGGCTGTGGCTCGTACGTTGGTTTGCGTGCAGCCAGCAGCAACAGCCTGGTTGATCAGGCGCTGATCCACCAGGAGGCCTGGTCACGGACCGGGCCGCGGGGGCGTTGACCCCCGAAACTCTCTCCAGGTAAACTCCAGGTAAACATGATTTAACTTCGTCCACTGGAAGATTCTGTTCTTATAATTCACATGCAGCTACCCCCCACATGCTCCAGCTACCCCCACATGCTCCAGCTACCCCTACATGCTCCAGCTACCCCCCACATGTTCCAGCTACCCTCCACATGCTCCCAGCCACTACTCCCACATACTCCCAGGCACTTCCCACACCGACTTCTGTCAGACGTCAGGTGTTCAACACATCTCCAGAGAATGTTTCGAGTCGTTCTGACACTCGGGCTGCGGCCTGAGTGCCAGGAATGACTCAAACTGGAGTTGAAAGAGTCACCGTGCCCTTGTCATAGAGCTGCCCTCACCACAGGGCTGTGTACTCTACTTGATACGAAGTCGACTCGCTGCGCCCTTGTCATAGGGTTGCCCCCGCCATAGGGCTACAAGAATGTTCACCGTGTCCCTGCCGTAGGGCTGTAAACGGTACATCACCTGTATAAACTCCGACACTCCTTTGGGAGTCACATAAACATTGAATGAACTTCCCACACGCTCCAACTCCCCCCACATGTTCCCAGCTACCCCCACATGCTCCCAGCTACCCCCACATGCTCCCAGCTACCCCCACATGCTCCCAGCTACCCCCACATGCTCCCAGCTACCCCCACATGCTCCCAGCTACCCCCACATGCTTCCAGCTACCCCCATATGCTCCAGCTACCCCCACATGCTCCCAGCTACCCCCACATGCTCCCAGCTACCCCCACATGCTCCCAGCTACCCCCACATGCTCCCAGCTACCCCCACATTGCTCCCAGCTACCCCCACATGCTCCCAGCTACCCCCACATGCTTCCAGCTACCCCCACATGCTCCCAGCTACCCCACATGCTCCCAGCTACCCCCACATGCTCCCAGCTAACCCCCACATGCTCCCAGCTACCCCACTTGCTCCCCGCTCCCCACATGCTCCCAGCTACCCCCACTGCTCCAGCTACCCCCACATTGCTTCCAGCTACCCCACATGCCCCAGCTACCCCACATGCTCCCAGCTACCCCCACATGCTCCCAGCTACCCCCACATGCTTCCAGCTACCCCACATATGCTCCCAGTACCCCCACAGTGCTACCAGCGACCACCACATGCTCCCAGCTTACACCC